GTTCCCTCTTCCGGGGCCACCCCTCCCCGCTCGTGGTCGTAGCCACCGCCTCCGCCGCCTCGGTCCATGCCGCCGCCGCCGCCGCCGGGCCCGCGCCTCCACTGGTCGGCGCCATCGGAGCGCGCGCCGGGGCCGTCGTCGTCGTCGTAACGCCTTCCTCCCGGGCCACGGCGCTCGTCAGGGCTGTGCGAAAAAAATCATGGAAACGACGTCAATCACTCGAGTACCAAGCTTCAAGCGTGCTTGGAGGGCAAGCTTTCTAGGAAGCATACAAACAACACTCAACCAAAGACTACTCGTTCAAGATAATACCACAGGAGTCGAAGGGGATGGGTTCAAGTCTTTTCAGTGAATGGGGGATAAAGCCTGCTGGATATGTACGCTGGGGATGTATGATACCTGTCTGTGCGCCGTTGATCCCAGTGTTCGGTTGTGCCGACGTACATCATACCGACATCCTCACGTCATCCAAGGTGGAGCATGCGTCGTGGCGCATGGAAAAAAAAAATTACGCGTCACTGGCACGTAGCCTGTTGATGCTCCTACAGTACTCTATTGAACACACGGGCAGGTGCGTGTGAGGGCGCGTATATTTTCGAACTTTTTTCGAACACGTATGCATACTCCCCCTCTCCCGTAAATGGATGATGTGTGGTGTGTGGTCACAGGGCTCTGAAAAAGCAAACGTCTCTTGCGAAGGCATCCAGCGGCAGCCAAAGCAAGCCGAAAAGCAACGGGTATGCTAGCTAGCACAGGGAGGGTTTTCGTGTCGTCGCAACAAGCGACCTGCTTCTCTCTGTTCTCTCTGCCTGATTGTGGACTCACTCTCTGTTGGGGTCGGGTCCTGACGGCAGAATATGGCCCTTCACGGGCTGCGCAGCTCCCGCGGCCTGTTTGCCCAAGAAATCCCCGAGGCCCATCTTCACTTTGCCTTTCTTCGACATGGTTACTGGAAGCAGTCAGTTCTGCTGGCCTTGCGCGAGCAAAGAATCTTCTTATCGAGAAAGGGAGAGAAGAGGAGAGAAGCCGAGATCTGCTGTGGCATGGGGTTGTGGGTGTGCTCACGACCGTCGACAGATTTCCGTTTCCGTGCAGAGGCACCGCAGATTGTATCCGCCGAGGGAGCTCCGCAGAATATAATTGTTTTTGAATTGCTCCACCGCCGACCACGCCGGCGCTCTGCGCGAATACCTGATTGCCTGCACCAAGACTCTAGACCCGAACCCACACCACCACCACCACCACTAATATCTGCCGCAAAGACACCGGTGACTCGCACTGCAGGTTGTCACACACCAGTAAACACCCTACAAGGAGGCCCAAGAATATTTTATCTGCGACCTCGCTCTCCCAAGTGACAACCGTCGCAACCCGGCGAGCAGCAGCAGCTATGGCAACGGAATCCAGCAACTCTGCCGTGGCGGCGACGCTAGCAGACCCCCAGTACAAGGCCGGGCGCAAGCTGATCGACGACGGCCGCCTGGAGGAGGCCGTGAACTTCTTCAGCGGCCTGCTGGAGACGAGAGTCCAGGTGCTGAGCGGCGACGAAATGAGCCCGTCGCTTGCCCCCCTCTACTACGAGTACGGCAACTCCCTCCTCTACAATGCCGAGGAGTCCGGGGCAGTCTTCGGGGACGCCATCACCGACGCCGAGCAGAAGAAGAGGGCCATGGCTATCGTCGAGGCCCAGATCAACGGGCAGGCAGCGGCGGCAGCGGCGGCAGCGGCGGCAGCAGCAGCGGGAGGCGGTGCCGCAGGGGAGGGGGCAACCGGCGGAGCGGAGGGAGAGGGCGCCGCTGCCCAGGCGCCTTCGCCGGACCAGGAGGCGGAGGAGGATCTGGAGCTCGCGTGGGAGAACCTTGAGATGGCGCGCCGGATTTACGGCGGGCTCGAGCTCACGGAAGACATTCGAACGGCAATCGCAAAGGTGTGTGTGTGGGTGGGTGCGGGTGTGTTTTGTGTGTTTGCGGAGAGCGAGTGGAAAAACGGCTGCTTTTGAATTTTTGAATATCTGTCCTGACGCCCTTCGCCCCATCCACCTCTCCCTGACCTCCAACCACAGTGTAGCAGACGCGTTCTGCGAGACCTCGTCAACTCCCAACGCTGTCTCGGTATCTTTATCTTTCAAGGTCGCATGAGTCTACTATTTAAGTACGGGGATGACTGCTGTACCTAGAAGAGAGAGACAGACAGACAGAGACCGAGAGAGATTTCAGTTCAAAGGTCGGGTGTGGAAGAGCACATGTTTTCATTGAGACTTCATATTTTAGCTGTTCGACAGATAGAAGCGTGGGTTTTCGCGGATATGCTTGTGCCGCGCATCATTCAAAGGAACCCTTTGTTGGACAGAAGTGAATCAGCACAGCAACAAACAGCAGTACACCTCTTGACAAAGAAAATTCGAAGTTCGATCGAGGTTCATTGCGATTGAAGTACGCGCAGACTTCGTTGAGACCGTAAAGTTCATGTAGAACCCCAAATATTTGTGGCTGTTTTTTTTTTCGCTGCCTTGCTCAAGCCCGTAGCTCAATTTTTGGTGAAAATGCGAACACATTCGGGATGAGAGCCGCGTACGGCGCACGCATGCATATGAAGGTGCACAAATCTAGTGGCTCAGTTATTCCGTGAAAGTTTTTATGGGTCGCTTGATGCTCTTGATCCACAGTTTTGTACTGGTAGGAATGGGATGGGTCCTTCGACCCTTGAGGGAAGCCTGGGCCAAATGCGCCTCAGTCTCCGGGGGCACGCAGGTAGTCATGATGCGGGGTAGGCCCTTAGAGGTATATCTCCCGACCATCCAACATCCTACTCTTCACACCGTAAGTTTGCGAGCAGGATCACTCCGTATCACTAGCCCAATCTGAAGCTCATTCATGCAGACATGCTCAAAATATTCCGGATCAAACCCTGGAAAGCTCAAGGTTTTCTGAGAATAAGTCCAAGACACGTCTCATAACAATACAGTCCAAGGGAAGGGGAGCTGCAGGAGTATCTCACCCTACCCCCTCGCCACCACTTCCTGAGGCAAAGCCAGCCTACACACAAGCGCTCTTTAGTGGTATGGCCTAGACTGAGATACGCTGCTCACCGCCGGGGGAATTCTTCTTCAACTGGCACTGCTGCTACTGCTACTCCCGAGGAAAAGGCCCTTCGGCGGCGGGCATAGCGGCAGGAGCGCTCAATAGACGAAGAAGAATTTCCCTGAAGCTCGAAATGTTCCCGGAAGTTTCTTGCGAACATTCGCAGGAGCCCGAGCGTCGATTGCCTTGAGCTGTATCCTCAGGATGGCCGTCTTCTCTTGCTCCTGCCCTCTCAATGTTTTGCTTATAAGCTGTCTTGTTTTTTCTTGCTTTGGGTGCGACTCTGCCGCTGTGCTATATCCCTCCCCCCCCCTCGTGAAGTACGACTGGACTTATGCTTCGCGCCTCGCAGCACAGCATCAACAACCCTTTGCTTCTCCGCGCGTTTTTGTGGAAGGTTCACCTCCGACTAGGCGACCTGAACATGGTGAACGGCATGTACAACGAGGCCGCGGATGAGTTCGAGAAGTGCCTCGACCACCGCTTGGCTCTCCCCTGCCGACAGTCCCGTGGTGTGGCCGACGCGCACGTCAGGCGGGCGCAGGCCCTCTTCTACGCGTCGACTCTTGAAGGCGCCGAAAAGGTATGCATGATATGGGTAGATGTTCTACTGCGGATTCTATTTTCGTTGTGCGGGATGTTGTTGATACGGATGGAGAAGTCTGCTGCTGATGTTATACCATGGTATTTGTTTTGCGGGATGTTGATATTGATGGATGTCTTCTGCGGATAGTTTTGTTCGTTTTACGGGATGTTGATACGGATGGATGTCCGCTGCAGAGTTTTCTTTTTTGTGCGGGATGTTGATATGGATATAATTCTGCTGCGTACGTTTATCCTGTTGTGCGGGATGTCGTTGGGTGCCCTGAACAAACGAGACGGACTCGCTCGGCCGGGTGTTGAGGCGGCCTATTGGTGCACCAATGCTGCCTGCTTTGTGTCCATCTCGGGGCTCACGTCTGTTTTTCGTGAAAACGGTGCACGATACCCGCTGGCTGACAATGCTGTGGGCGCTTTCAACAACGTTGTGCGCCGCATACTTGAACGAAACTCGAAGACAAGAAAATACCCAACCCATGTCTCTGAGCGACATTCCATTCCCTTCTCTGATCTCTCTTGATCCGCGCCTCTCTGCTTTCCTCGCACGATCTACATACAACGCGGGTACGAAAAAAAACAAAAAAAAACAGGACGCGCTTGTCGGACAGTCGCTCGAGCAGTACCGGCTAGCGATGGGGGTTTTCGACGCCATGCTGGCGTCCTTGAAAGAAGCACCTGAGGTGACCGCCGCCGCAGCTGATCCTTCCGCCGATGCCGCTTCTCCCGGCAAGGAGAACAGTGATGCACCCAACACGTCGAACGGGAGCGGGAGTTCCAACGGCAAGGGGAAGGGGAAGGGCGGCGCACAGGGGGCTGCATCGCCGCCACCGTCCGCCGCTTCCGCCATAGAGGAGCTCGAGGACGTGCGCGACGCCATCCGGGAGACGATCGACACCATGGTGAGCGGCAAGGACATGGAGGCGCTCGCGGAGTACAAGAGCGGAACGGGTACCACCACGGTCGGGTTCGGGAACCCATCACCGGCATCTGCATTTTCCGGCGGCGGCGGCGGCGGCGGCGGCGGCGGCGGCGGTGGCGGGGGGGGTTCTTCCTCAAACGGCGGGGTTGCTGCCACTCCCGCTGCAGGAGAGGTGACGACGGTCGGCTTTGGAGCACAGCAGTCGGGAGCGACGACAACGGCAGGGTTTGGCGGTGCCTCTGCTGCGGGTTTCGCCCCGGCCGGGGCTGGGGGAGGCGCGGCGGCGAACGTGATGGTCGTGAAGCGAAAGGGAAGGCCAGCGCCGAAGCCGGCGCCGGCGGCGACGGCGCCGATGACGGCGCCGGTGGCAGGGGTGGGGGCGGAGGCTATCGTATCTCCCAAGAAAGCCAAACCTAACAAAGAATGAGATCGTCGTGTTGGGATGGTCGATTGTTTACCAAGTAGATGCGGTCGTCGTGTGTACCGGTGGCGCTCACGACCACGCGCCCGCCTAAGAGCACGGCAGCGTTTAGGTGGTACTAGCTTCCGTGGCGTGCTCTTTCTTCGGGCGGAGTTCCTAGAGCGTGGGCTGCGTTTTCCTTGGGCTCGGTAGGTCAAACGTACGATAGAGTGTTGCAAAAAAATCACGCGCATCGGGTGAGCCAGAGCTTGGCCATTTTTTGCCCTGCATTGCGTGAAATTCGGGTCGATGTTCAGTCTTTCCAAATATGTCGAAAGGAGTGTATTGGTATTATGTGGTCGTGGTTACATCGACAATGGATGAAATATGGATGAAATAGTTTTCGAAAGTATATGTTCCTTCCTTGGGAGATGGCTGGGTCGCAAAGCATTTCCCTACGCGAGGGATATGCCCATCGATCAACTAAATCCAATCCCACGGCATTTCTAACAAAAAAAAAACACAAGAAAATAGCGGCAACTTGGCGAGTTGACAACACGAGTCGCTTTTTGGGACACATTTGTGTCGCATCCACGAAACTCTGTTGTGTGAAGTACGTACGTGAACATCCACAGCGACAAATCACTTGACGATGCGTCGGTTTGGCCAACCGACCAAAGCGGGGACCATACGTAGCGAGGCTAAGGTTGCGTTCACTTTCGTGTGTGTGAAAATAGAAAATAGTCTTACCGCGCAATTTGCGCGGGAAAACAAGCCTTCCGAGAACAACCAATCAGAGAAGAGAGCAATCGGGTCTTTCGCCAGAGTGAAAACCTGAAAACACTTTGTACAGAGTAGCTGGCTGGACCCACGACCTCAAATGTCCAATGCATATGCATAGATGCCGCACACTCAGCTGCGGAACGGACTGGCATACCTGGACCATGTACAGCAGTCGCATCGAACCGTTGGGATTGTGCTATTCTATACCTCAAAGACGAAAGGACTAGGCAAAAAGTATGCACGCAAACATTGGATCAGAATGAAGGCGAAGCACCTGGGAAGAGAGTAAAGTATGCACACATAGATCGGAAACGTCCTAACCACCAAAACACCATCATCACCGGTTTTACAGGGTGCTGGCACACCCTCAACCAAGTCCACTTTCCTCATCAAATAACTAACTAATCATCGCGAACTTGCGAGCCAAAGGCGCACTCTGGCGTGTCCCCCACGGGCTCGTCAAGCACCCCTTCCGGGAGGAGTGCCATGGCCCGATCCACAGCATCTCGGAAGTCGTCCGTGTCAGGGTCGATCTTCGACTGAGCCTGCACGGCGCGGCTCAACTCCTGCCGAAACGTCCTGCTGCCCTGCGGCGTTTGGGCCGCACGCACGAACAGGAAGGAGGTGCAGAGAAACGGCAAGAAAGAGCAAGAGATTAGCTCGGGAGAGGATACAGGGTATTGAGGCCGTGGAATATACGTGAGCGTGCGTGCGCGCGGCCGTCACCAGTTTCTCCGTGGCGTAGATTCGCGTTTAAAGGTGCCAGGGGTCTTGTCTCTTACGCTGGCTGTGGCTGCCGCACCGTGTGCCATGTAGCCATGACCGTGTGACGAACAACCCATACCGAACCATGACGCCTCGCTTCGTGCTCATGGCATAGTCTAGGGTTGTTCCACACCACCCCCCGCGCGATAACACTACACTAGCCCCACGAAAACGCCGACTCGGGGCGTGCACCTCGACTCTAGCGATGAGACCGGCAAACAGAAAGGCATGTTGTTGCAGTTGTTGTGTCTTCACAATAAAACGTCGTGTGAAGCAACGAGTTTTGCGGGCAAAGGCTACGAAAGGTACGTGTGCAACGCAACCAAACCGTCGTATTTCGTGGATAACGTGCCCTCTTGTGAGGTGCGCACAGCTGGCCATGAGCGATTATATCTTATACTCAGACTGCGTACCCACAACATACGCACAGGGCAGCGTTCCATCATTACCCTCAACACATGAAAAAAAAACGCGGCGTGTTTGATCGTTTGCACTCTCGCTCTCACCCTCGCGCCGGAAGAGAGGTAGCCTAGAGGTTTCGTGACGGTGCCGAGGCAGAGATGCCGGGTTCGGTTGCACTCCGGCCCCTCCCGCCGGCCTTCCTGCATCATCTCCGTGAACCTGTCCACGCAGCGTTCCATTATCTCCCGCCTCGTGAAACCTGCAGCGACACACGACGGGTAGAAAGACCGTTAATTTTACGCCGCTACACACACACAAACGGTTTCTAGTCCTAGGGCTGGATCGCGTTTTGGGGACACTTTTTGTCCCCATCTTCTTCGCCTGCTTTACCTCGCGAAGAATGGCATGATTGTCTCCTCCTTTGAACTACTCGACCAGGGGGGTGCCAGGGTACACAGGGACGACTCTAGTCTAGCATGGATGGTTTGTTGAGTGGAGGAGTATGAGGGTAATGAACAGGTCGAATCGCGGGGCGATTACGCCGCGGGTTCAACAGCGAAGTTGCGCCGCGTCTGTCTACCCTTGGGTGGAAAGCGCTACTAGGGGCAAGAGCGGAAGAAGTACATAGCCCACCGTTGACAGAAGGCACCGGGCAACCTAGGGCTTGGGTTACAAGGTCTCACTTTCCTTCTAGACAAATATCTTGAAAACCTCCTTTTCGTGCCCCGTTTACCAAGCTCCCGCCAGTTGCTGTCTATAATCCCTATCAAATGTCCCCTCGATAATCGAGGGGACAATCGATAGGGATTATACACAAGAGACGGCTCAAGTGGGAAGGCAGCTTTGCACTTGCACCCAGGGATGGAACTTTCTGCACCATCCAATCAGCAGGCATCGTTCGCTCTTTTTCTTACATTTCAGAAATTTCGCAAGAACGCCGAATTTTCTGTGCGTCGTAAGGGGGTTAAGGGTCACAACGCAGGCAGGGTAGGACCCCTGGCAGGGTCTAACAAGCCCCCCAAGTGTGGCCCACTAGAGCTGGGGGCGGTTGGGTCATACCCAGCCCCGAAATTGTCGCTCGTTCTATCGCTACTACTGGCGTTTTTTAACACTCTCAGAAGTACCTAACATGAGGAAAAAACACCATGCGCACCTGGGTCTGACGACCCAAAAACGGCGCTGTCCGTATGCCGAAACGTCCAGGGGTCGAAGTACGCCGCGCGCCCCACCATGACCCCGGCGACGCCGCCTCCGTATTCCCCCCACTCCCCCGTGCCGGTGATGTGTTCGTTAACGGCTCCGAGGGAGTCAATGCCGCCGTTCAGAACGATCTCCAACTCGGGAAACTCTTGCGCCAGCCGGTGCACGACGTCGTACCGAAGGGGCGGGATGGTGCGGTTGGCCGAGGTCGACAGTCCCTTCAGCAGGCACTTTCGCGCGTGCACGACGACGTGGTCGATGCCCGCCGCTTTCACTGCTCGCACGAACGTCGTCAGCTCGTCGTACCTGGGAAGCGGCCAAAAGGACACGCGCGGAGGGGGGGGGGGGGGGGGGGGGGGGGGGCCCTTTTTTGGTTGGCGGAATCTTTTTTACATTTGCCCCCCCCCCCCTTTTAAAAGGGGCCCCCTTCTCCCCCCCCAAAAAAAACCACCCCCAAATTTGGGGACCTCTTTTTTTTTTCCCCCAAAAAACAAAAAAATTTTTTGGGAAATTTTTCCCCCCCCCCCGGGGCCCCTTT